CTTCTTTGATAACTTTTTGGAAAGTAAACATGTTTGTTGTCTTTATTTTTTGTATATTCACTGTATTGTATTGAACAAAATGGTTATACGGCCCGCGCTCGTCATTTATCTCAGTTATCTGGCCCGCTGTGAAAAAAGTTTGGTGACCCCTGCTCTAGTGTAATAACAGTTCAAAATTAGAGACGGCTAGCACAGGTAGCCGTTACGTAATTTTGCAAACAAACAAACACATTTTTCTAATTCCCTTTTTGTGTGCCTTAATGACATCAGTATCATTAAAGTTTGTTTCTTCTATTGCTCTAAATGTACGATTTCACAGACACTATCTGCACTGAAGGTTAACCCAAAAGGTCCTACACCTAGTCTTCTGTTTCAATATATTTCTACATTATATTTTTAACTTTCTTGTGGTTGTGACTGTCTTAGCGCAAAGTTATACAATGGTATTGTACGTCCGTAAACTTACTGCTCACAGCGAGGTACTTTTAATTTCCTATAAAATTGAATAGTATTCAAATAAAATGACGATCTAGAAATTTCAACGAATACATTTAAGAATAATTTAATGTCATAAGTAAAAATGAGTTATTCATAGCTATAAGACGTTCTTAAAACTAAAAAGGAAAGGAACAGTTCACTCATGGACAAAGATTGTTGAATATATTCTTTTTTTTAGCTTCAGAAAGCTGGCTTGTGAAATTGACGATTTATAATAAAATTAGATAAAAAAATACAAATGCAGGCACTAAAGTTTCAGAGTGAAAATTTTTGATGAAACTAACAATTATAATTGGAATTTTACCGATAAAATAAAACTAAAAAAGGGAGAGCTTTGATCGCCATTCAGACCATGAGATATCTATGATTCAGACGTAGAGAAAAAGCAAAAGCAAAACCAAAGCACAATTAGGCTTTGGTTGTGTAGTTGTAGGTGTTTAAGATTAAAGTATTTGAACTTTTATAACTTCAGTTGTTGGAATATCCCACGCAGTGTGTATAAATGAACGTTATTCCCTAATGTTCTGTTGCGCAATTAGAACATATTGTGGACATTCAAGATTTTTAATAATAATATGTTGCAGTGATTGCGTGAATACTTAAGAACTAAAAAAGTGAAGTTAACATAAAATTAAATACTACTTGCTAGTAATATTTAAGTTAGTAATACTGATAAGAAAATCAGGGATAGCAATTTACCAGTACCGGTGGTAATCGTTTAGTTTCACAGTCTTCAGAATGCAACAAGTGATGTATGCTAGTGTTAGTGTTACTGCTAGCCTATCGGTTGATTTATTGTGCACTGGAATAAAAATTCAGGCAGCAATGATCTCAAATTCTCGAAGGGTAATTCTGTATTTATGTTTAAGCCTAATAATACTAAATACAGTGACTGTGACAACTGCTGATCAAGGTGACTGCAAGATTATCAAAGAAAAAAACCCTGAGATGAATAAGAGAGAAAAAGAACTTTTGAATCGTCTTGGTCCACTGAAAGGAAGCATGTACGTTTATAAGTTATATGGCATTGAATTAAAATTTTACTATATTATAAAATTTAGAGATTCAGTTTACTGTAATAACTTAAATACTTTGTAGCATATCTGACAATAAGTATAACAATAACATTTTCATTAAGTACTTGGGAAGGATTGTGGTTATTGTCATGTTTAATGTCATAAGGACAAAAGGGTCCATTTAGTACTTCAACTTCAAGGCTGGCCCTTGAATACCTTTGAGAACAATAATAATTCAAACTCACATTTTATTTCTAAGAAAATTATCAATTTCCATCCTAAACTATTCTGAAGTACTAGCCTTCACTACTGCTGATGGCAGTTCATTCCATAAGCATATCACCCTGTTACAAAACATAAAACTTGAACAGGAGCCGAGTCATCATTTCTTGATCATGATTTGTGTTGTATCATCCTTTTTTCTTCAGAATACAACATAAAAAAGTCAGAGACCTTATTCCTGTCAACCCACTGGATAAAGTTTTAAATTTCAATAAGATCACCTCTTACCCTTATTTTCTCAATAGAAAATAAGTTAAGAGATTCTTGTCTTTACCTATAAAATAATCATGCTAGCCCAGAATTATACCAGTGTCCCTTCTTTGAACTTTTTCCAATATATCAATATCTTTATTAGATAAGGTGACTAAAACTATACACAATATTCAAGTGATGCCTAACTTGTGATTTGCATAGAAAAATAACTCTCTCTTTTGACTTTTAATCAATATGTCTAGAAATAAACCCTAAAATTCTATTAGCTTTACCAACAGATACAGAGCACTACTTTGAATTTGATTGATTGAGTGACTTATCCACCACTGTTCCAAGATTTTTATTTGTAGTCAGTATTGAGAGGGTTCCTGCATATATTAACTAAAGGATCCATATTATGTAGACTCAAATGCATTGCCTTGCACTTAATAAAATTAAAGGTCAATTGCCTAATGTTTGTCCAATGTACCAATTGGTCCAAATAGTTCCTTATTACCTCTACATCCTCAATTCAGCCAGAAAATACCCAAGAGTTTGGAGTCATCAATATATATGTTTAATAATCCCAGCTAGCCTGATGAGCCATAGTATTCGACAAAAGGCCCCATCAGTTCTGGATATAACAGATAGTTAAACAAATGTTTAAACAACTCTATTCAAAGATAGTGTAGTTTATATATTGCTACATTATTTTTTACTTTCACTCTTTAAGTTTTTATAATATAATTAATGTAAGTAAAAAAAAAAACATTGGCCTAAGCACTGACACTTGAGGCTCTACACCAGTAACAAGGATTCACTTTCACCGGGCTCTATTAATAACAAACTTTTGTCTTTTCTCGTCCAACTACCCTACGGTCCAATTAGTCTTTCTCAGCCTCCTACTGATGTGAATTTCTTAGTTAACCTTGTGTGGCACCTTATTAAAAGCTCTTAGAAAGTCTTAAGTATATGAAGTCCATATCCTTTCCATTATCCAGATAACAAGTAACACCCCCACCCCAAAAAGTTACTAGTCTATTGTTGACCTTTTAATATATCATATTTCACCAAACGATTTTGCAAAGCTTCTTTTTTTTCAAACTTTATAGAATATTTTCTCACTACAGAAGTAAGGATAACTGGCCTGCTGTTACGAGGATAACTCTCATTACTCCTTTAAAATTAGAAGTAACATTAGCAACTCATATAAGTTCTCAGGCATCTGCTCACTATCTGTTGACCGACATAAAATGAAAGAGAGAGAGAGGGACATGCAAGTATACTCTTTAACCTCCTTTAAAAACCTAGAGTAAATTTTGTCTTGTGTTTTATCTGTTTGTAATCTTGCATTCTTTGTATTTATCACCAAGGGATCCATACAACATGATCCAGTATATCCAATGAAATTCTCAGGGTCAGGAATGCTGCTGCAATCTTCTCTTGTAAAGAAAAAAAAAAAAGAGGGAGAGACAGAGAAAACAGTTGAATTCTCAACTGTGCTTGCAATCATTGCCCTTAAGAGCCCAAACCACATTTTAATGTTCTTAAAAAATCTCTATTGTTAATATTAACATTGTCAGCCAGCTGTTTCTCATAAGCTCTTTGACTTCTTAATTTCCATTTTAACCAAATGTCCAACCTTCCTATAATTAATTATTAGACTGTATAGGCTACTAATAATCAAAATTAGATAATAGGTTGAAAATTGCCAAGTTCTTTCATATTTTTAATTAAAGAAGGATGACATTTCGAGCTAACGCTCTTCGTTAGGTCATACAGCTTACAAACAAGATTGTAAGCTGTACAATATAAAAGAACTTGTCAGTTGTTCAACCTATTATTTAATTTTGATCTTTTGTCACCTTTGCGGTTTTAACTACATGTTTCTTTTTAGGTTACTAATAATGTTTGTATTAATAATATTTGTTTGTTCATTGAACATAAAGTTTTTATTTCCTTACAGATTTAGTACTTCAGATAATACAGAGAGTAAAAGAAGTGGATATTTCTACAAACTGGGAATTTGTAGCAATGTTAGTGATGTTCCTTTTTCAGGAGTGATGCAGTTCAATAGCACCTTCCCAAATCAGAGATGGTTAATTGGAAGGTACAATGCTACAAAGATCATGGGTGGAAGTGAGTAGTGTTGTTATGCTGTTATAATCCATAGATTGTCTAGATTGGAACCTGAAATCTATCATTAAATCTCTACCATTTTATAAATTCTGCCCCCCAGTGGTACAGCGGTATGTCTATGAACTTACAACGCTACAAACCGGGTTTTGATACCCATGGTGGGCAGAGCATATATAGTTCATTGTGTAGCTTTGTGCTTAACTACAAACAAACCGTAAATTATTTTGTAAGTGGTTTTCAAACGAGACCTAAAACTCGAGAGTAAAGTGGATGTATCGATCTGTAAGTTTTTATTCCCACGGAAGAAAAGATAGTATTTAATACATTTGTCAGTAATTTTTTATAATGTTTTGAATTAATTTTAGTTCCTTGTAGAAAAACTAGTGAAATCGCATCGGTTGATTTAATGAATAGTTTTGCACATGCTTTTTACATCTACTGTAAATACATGAGAGCTGTGTTGAAGTTGTAAGTTTTACACTTTAATTTTTTTTTTTTTTAAGTGTATATTTGTATGTATCATTTGATATAATGATTAAATAGATTACAAATATTAACCTCTACTTTATTATTTCTAGCAAAGACATAGGAATTAAGCTTTTTTATATTCATAACAGGACCTTAATTTGGATGTGGTAAGTATTAAAAAAACATTCATCTTATTTGTGCAAAACTAAGTTCCTGAAACAGACTTTTTTTAAGATGTTAGCATTTAATATAGATTTTTCAAAAACCAACATATGCTCAATGTAATATTTTGAATATTGATAATTGGGCTATGTTTTAGAATTAGTCAAAAATTAGTGTTCTCTCGAACATGATTTCAGAATAGTTAAAATAAGAAAAACAAAACAAAAAATATATATATACATGTATATGATCATATTGTGGTTACATTTTTATTAACAAAACCTGTACATCACCGCCCAGTGGCTCTGCAGTAAGTCTGAAGGCGTATAAAGCTAAAAACCAGGTTTTCATACCCATGGTGGGCATAGCACAGATAGCTCTTTGTGTAGCTTTGTGCTTAACAAATTGTACATCAGTAAAATAATAAATCGTAAAAATGACTTCCTAATACAGTTGAAATAACAGTTTTCTCCTTTTAGCTGATTGGATTTTTCTTACATATGATAATGGTGAAGAGTACAAATCTGACTGCAACAAGACTAAACGCACAGCCAACATTATGATAGTTTGTGATCCTTTTAACCTGAAGGTATGTCAGTATTACAACTGTCTCTGGTCTTTCTGACCTGAAGATATGTTAATACATCAATATTATAACTATCTCTGATCTTTCTAATCTGAAGATATCTCAATATACCAATATTATAACTATCTCTGGTCTTTCTAATCTGAAGATATCTCAATATACCAATATTATAACTGTCTCTCATCTTTCTGACCCAAAGATATGTCAATATTATAACTATCTCTGGTCTTTCTAATCTGTAGATATCTCAATATACTAATATTATAACTGTCTCTGATCTTTCTGACCTGAAGATATGTTAATATTATAACTATCTCTGGTCTTTCTAATTTGAATATATCTCAATATACCAATATTATAACTGTCTCTGATCTTTCTGACCTGAGAATATCTCAGTATACAAATATTTTAACTGATTTTTGTAACCTGAAGGCACATCAATATATCAATATTACTAGATGTACTTCCACAGGGTTTCTAAAAGTGTTCTATTTCAAGAGTTAATAAAACCAAAATAAAGAGTAACAAATATTTTCATTTCTTGCTTTTGAAGTTCATGTATCATGTTGTTTGTAGCCTAGTTCTTCTCCTAATTCATGGCATGTGTATGTTTTAATTGCAACATTAAGCATTCCTTATTTGACATAATTTTAGTGTCTACTAACTGACAGACAGACAACACTACTGTATAGTGTGCAAGTGAGTGATTAAAATGGGTAACCCCTCCAGGTGGCCTTTGGCCCTCTTTTTTTTTTTGGAAATAATTGTCTGTGATCTTTCTAAGTTCAAGATATGTCAGTATTATAACTGCCTGTGGTCTTTCTAATGTGAAGTTAACTCAGTAACAACTAATACCATAATCCTTATTCTTCTAGCCTGATATTGAAAGCATGCTATTACGTCATCTTACTGAGAGTTAATTACGTTTCTTATTTTTCTGTTTAAAGATTACAGCAGATATCACTAACATTTTCCCAGAGCTCGACAAATACTTCTTATCAAAAATGTTTTCTTTTATCTGTGTTAGGTCTTATACAACTTAATATTATCAATATAAGATTTAGGACTGTTAAGTTCTACCATACTCGTATGTCAAACTGTGTGTTTAGAAAGTGTTTTATGAATTTTTATTAAGTTTGAATCAAACACGGAAATCATAAGAGTCAGGTGGTAACAACCGTGTTTGTGAAATTTCTACTTTAACAGACGAGTAGTGATCTAGTAAATTAATAAAAGGGTTATTACGTAAACATAATACTATAAATGTATCATATACACTATTTATGTTAGGTAACTCATACGAGTATTTAATCATTTGTTAACAAGTTAGCTCTATAATAGGTGAGCACTAATATAAGATAGCTTTGTTCTAATGCAAGAAAATTAAAAAAAATAGTACGTTTGAGAACTTCAATGGACTGTAACTTGTTGTTGAGAGAAAAGAAGACAACATTTCAGTTTCTATGCTGAAGCCATCTTCACATAGAATAAATTTTTTCAGTTTATTATTTGTGCTTAAGCCAGTGGCAAAGTGGTATGTATACAAATTAAAAGAAAGCTTTTTATTGCAAAAATTTACTTAAATTATTTCAGAACTCTGTTTGTTTGTAAAGTGTGTAATCTAAACATCTCTGATTATAACGTAAATGTAAATTTTAATAATTTAAATACAAAGATATATTTCTTGAAAAATAAAGGTCTCGGTATTGAAGCCTTTTTCTTTCAATAACACTTGCAGTCCTTAAACCTACTATGTGCACTCTGTGTAAGATTATATTGAAACAAATGAAAAACAAGTCATTTCTGTAAACAAATATCACTTTAAAATGGTCTCATCATCAAATGTTTTTTTCACGTAGGGTACATTTAAGATGCTTGAAGAACGAAAAAAAGACGAGACTGATTATTGCTACTATCTGTTTGAACTAGGTAGCAATGTTGCCTGCACTGTACCACCAGTGAACAAACATCTAAGTAGTGGTTCTGTGTTTTGTATAATGTAAGTATTTGTAAATTATATCCTGTCTTCATGAGAGGTGTGATAGATACTCTTCATAGCATCAATTTCTTTTTGAAACATGAGCTTGAAAAGATCTCTGGTTAACTGAATGTGCATGTAATTGGTTCAACACACTGACCCCATATTGGAAAAGAAATGTTGACTATTATTTAAAATGTACTATGTGTATCTACATGAAATGTAGTAAACGTTTAGTAAAATATACAAGTATTTTGTACCCAAAAAATCAGATGTGCCACAAAAGTATTTGTCTCAAAATATCTCGAAGAATTGATGACATCAGTCTGACTTGGACTGACTGAACAATTGGAGTGCAAGGTAAAGTTAATGTGAAGAATTAAGATACTTTTGTTCATTGTGCAGTATGGAAATGTATTTGCATAACATGTAGAGCCTCTGAAATGCATATCTACAGCTTTTTCGGTATCCCTATTTATTATATCCGGCACTTATTACAAACTGTCACTAACTCATCAATGTAGGGTAAAATGAATAGTTAATAACTAATAGTAGATACATAATACCAGATGAATAGCATTCTATCAAAGGTTGTGGCATGCACACTTTTACCTCCACTCCTGCGCATAGAGTTAATAAAAAGTCGTTCATACAAAACATTACAATCGCATCAGAAAAAGGTCTTTCAGTTGCATGGTTTGAACAAAGGCACATGGATTGCACATTTACACAGCTATGAGAGTGTGACATTGTAATTATAGTGATTTAAATTCTTGCAAAACAAAACAATATTATTGGTACTCCATTAATTACGTGTTTTTTTGTTATTTTCATACCAACTTAGCATGTGTTACACAATATAATGCACAGTAACGGATAAAATAATGTGTGTAATACCAAACTGAGTTATTTAAGCACACACAACAAGTGAAAGGCATTTTACACCTTTACTATTGTTCTTTATAATTGCATACATAACAGAATGAAACACTGTTTAAATGTTTCACTCAGAAGAATTATTTATTTAAAACTTATTCAAATGTAAGTTTGAGTTAGTGTTGTAATTCAAATAAAATCATTAATATTATTTTTAATTTTATAAACTGCTTTATATAAAAAAAAAGGACGTCCGTGCATCTTCTATCCAATTGTATATAAACGATTAGTTTCAGTAACATTCATTACTTTTTATACAATTAAAATCTAATGCTAAAACAAAAAGAAACAAATATTAAATAAAAGAAAAAGTGAAAAAGCTTGAATTTTTATTCTTTGCTGACACGTATCATATAATACTGATTTGAGCAGAGCACTAATACAAAAACTCTTCATGGTTTTTATTCAAACTCCTTGTGTAGAAGTTTGGTTTGAGTGAAATGAATGTTGCTAACCAAACGAAAAATGTGAGTGTGTTAGAACATGTGCAAGCCAATTTAGTCTACAGGAAACATCAATTCATCTCTATCTTTTTCTGATGCATTACTTTTGTTTGAACCTGCCGAGACATGAATACTTGGAAGCCAACCGAGGAATCGAATACAAGGCTGGCTGGAACTCGACTCAATGTTTGCTTAGCACATTTAACCATGTTTCTTGTAATATGTGTGCTATGTCCTACTGTTATTTCCCTCGTATTCGATTCCTCGGTTGGCTTCCAAGTATTCATGTCTCGGCAGGTTCAAACAAAAGTAATGCATCAGAAAAAGATAGAGATGAATTGATGTTTCCTGTAGACTAAATTGGCTTGCACATGTTCTAACACACTCACATTTTTCGTTTGGTTAGCAACATTCATTTCACTCACTTTTTTTGACGACAATGAGAATTCATTCTAACAGGAATAATTATGAAATAAAACATTTTGTTGTTTCCATGCAAAACTTCCTGCAAGGTTTTCAACCCTTCCTGTACACACTGTCTACCCTTGCTTTGTCAGCTTATTGCTTCCTGCTTACTAATTGTATTTTAATTCTATAAATTTAATCAATTATTGAATTCTTTCATTTTATTAGTTTACTTAAAAGTTTTTTGCTGAAGCTCAACTGAAGAGATCTGAATAAGTTAGAGCTACAAGTGACAATTAACATCTTATTGTAATAAAACTTCTTTACTTTATTCCTAGCTTCTTCACTTTGACTGGAATCTACTTAACTGTTGGCTTTTTGTACAAACGACTTATTGTGGGAGCAAGGGGGTTGGAGCAGATTCCCCACTACTCTTTTTGGAGAGATTTTGGAAATCTACAAGCTGTAAGTTTCTAATGTAATACTTTGTACACAAGAAACAAAGTAACCAAGAATTTTTATAAAGTAGATTCTGTGCATACTACAGGTTGGCTCAAAAGTTAGGAGGCCTTAATAAGTTTAGCTTTCATGTTCTTCATTTCTAATAGCTTGGAATACTGCAGAGCATTGTGAACATTTGGCTTGGAATGTTAACTCATGATGTAATACCAAAGTAATAAACAAGCTTGTAGTTAGATAGCATAGATAAATTGAGGTTATTACTGACTTTTTTGACCACTCTGTACTTTATTTTTAGCTCTTGTAACATTTGTATTTATGTCTTCACTAAATAAAAGGTTCTTTTTCCATTTGGAGTCTATTGTATTAGGTACTTTTTCCTTATTATTTATCCTGCTTGTTTTGTTAAATAAAAAAAAAGTCACCTTTTCAGAAGTATTGAAATTAATTTACTGAAGATTTATAAAAACATAAACATTGTCTATGTTGAACTTCTACAAGCCCATTTTTGATTTTTGTTATCCTAACCATTTGCTGAATCTACAAAGTTGCCAAAAACTGGCTATTTTTTTTCTTTCCAGGATCATAATTGTTGTTAATTTCAAATTTATCTGAACATAATATTACTCTTGTTTTCAGAAAGTTATTATTGTTATCATCCAGTGTGTGTATATATATATATATATTATAGTTACTACAGTCATCTTTAAAAATATGAACTCTTAATACTAGAAAAAAACGACCTTATAACACTAAAATGTTGTTTTTATTTAATTAGACACTCAAGATTTCACTTTACAGCTTCTTCAGGACAAACCAGTGACAGAACAAAGCTTCAAAATGCTCTAGCGA